CCAATTTCCCAAACCAATCAGCAACACTTGTACCACAGAGATGGGAGCACAATGCTGCATTCATCTGACAGAACGTTTATTTTAAATTGCCGTGCTCATTAAGAGGGGATATGCTTCTAATCACAATATCAGACAAGCATCAGACTCCTGCATCCCATAGCTACCTTTCTGTGTCAGATACCCATGGTTCATTAAAAAACAAATGAATAATTGTCTCAATTATTCACATGGTACACTTTGAGCAAACAGGCAATGGAGGGTTTGCTTGACATTAATCTGGGCTGAATTTGAACCAAGGTGCCAGACACGAAAGACCAGTATCTACCTCCTGTAATATGCAATTCCAGCTGACAGAACTTAGAGAGTGTAATGGTGACTAAGGTTTTGGAGTAGATTTGTAGCTCGGGTTGTGGATGTTGTGGTTGGTTGGCTCGCCGAGCTGGTTTGTTGTTGTTCGGCAGACATTTCATTACCCTGCTGGGTAATATCGTCAGTGCAGCCTCCAATGAAGCGCCGTTGTGTTTTCCCGCCTGGTTTTTAAACTCTGGAGTCCATCAACAAACAAATAGAACTCGACCCCATGTACACTCTATTGCGAAGGAAAACCAGAAGTGAGGTAATCCAGCTCAACAGACTCCAGAGTTTAAAAACCAGGCGGGAAAACACAACGGTGCTTCATTGGAGGCTGCACTGATGGTGTTACCCAGCAGGGTAATGAAACATCTGTGGAACAACAATGAACCAGCTCGGCGAGCCAACCAACCACAGTATAATGGTGAAGATGGAGCATCAGAAAAACTGTCAAAATAATGAATTAACTACACATTGTGATCTTCACTAAGTTCAACTCCAATGACGTACCGTAGTTAATTGATTGGGAACAATGCTATTTGCTCTTTTCTGTGAATAAATATAAGGATGATATAATGAAATACTTACAGCAATTGAAGACATTAAAGTTTTTTCTTACATTTCATCATTTGCACAGTATTTGAGACTGCTAATTTTTCTTAGAGATGCTAGTCTCTACAAATTCCTATTGATTTTTCCAGGTATCTAATACCCATAATCAGTACCACAATACAAGCATGTTTTGTTTCACTATTCAGTTTTGCAAAGATCCACAACAGTATAAGTGTTCTGTCGTTCAGGTCAGGCAAAAACAGCAAGACACAACAATACTTTGAATTCTACACTCCCTGTTCACACATCCTTTAATTTTTCATTAAGTTCCTCATCATCCAGGTTACAAAGATCATTTTTCAGTGCGACGAGCAATGTTTATCACATGCTAAGTTGGAAAAGCAAAATTGAAAGTCGAATGACTTTATGCACCTTGCTTTAACACGTGATGTTCAGACATATGTGGTGGTCTCAATCTTTCACACACAATATTTTCATTCACTTGCTCAAAAACACCACTCTCGAGAGTTCTCAGTCATGTAGATGGCAATCTCTCTCATAGTGCATACTATTGTCATTCATGCCTATGATGTATCAATTATTACTAAACATGTGATATTTTTGCACAGGCACAGTACTTTTGTACAATACACTCACCGCTAAGATCTTAAGCATCATCAGGTTTACACAGTCATGGAGCTATCTACAATGTAGAAGAGGCCATTCACCCCATTAAATCAATGCCAAGTCTCTGTAGAGTAATTCAGTCAAACCCATTTCCATTATCCCAGTATCTAGAAAGATTATGGCAAACCCTTGCTACTTTCACATGTGAGACCTAAAAACTCTTCCTATATGCATGGTCCTCAAGATACACAACATGTCCTGAAGTTCTGAAATGGCATAAAAAAATTCTCTGTGTTTCCTCTAGGGTTAGTGTACATAATTCTTTGAAATTTGCGTCACAGGCAGACATGGTGGTTAAAGAGGTGTTTAGCACGCTTGCCTTCATTGCTCAGACCTTTGAGTTTAGGACTTGGGACATCATGTTGATGTTGTACAGGACGCTGGTGAGGCCTCTTCTGTAGTATTGCATGCAGTTCTGGTCACCCTGTTATAGGAAGGATATTATTAAACTGGAGAGTGTTCAGAAAAGATTTGCCAGGATGTTGACAGGAACAGAGGGTTCGAGGTATAAAAATAAAAAGGCTGGGACATTTTTCACTGGAGCATAGGAGGTTGAGAAAATCATGAGGGGTAAAGAGAAGGTGAATGACAAGGATCTTTTCCCTATGGTGGGGATTTCAAAACTAGGGGACATATTTTTAAGGGGAGAGGAGAAAGATTTAGAAAGGACATGAGGGGCAACTATTTTATACAGAGAGTGATTCATGTGTGGAAATGAACTTCCAGAGGAAGTGATGAATGCAGATACAGTTACAATGTTTAAAAGATATTTGGGTAAGTTCTTGAATACGAAAGATCTGGAGGGATACAAAGCAAGTGTAGGCAGGTGGGACTAGTTTAGTTTGGGAACATGGTTGGCATGGACTGTTCGGACCGAAGGGTCTATTTCCATGCTGTTTGACTGTATGATTCTATAATCTAGTTAGTAACTTGTTTAAACTATTAAGTTCAATCACCTCTAAATGCCCCTAGATCTCCTCTGTGCTACAACTCTTATTAATTCAGTTACCCTAAGCAGTTGCGACTTGAATGAATGTCCTAGCTTAGTGGGAGAAAAAAAAACAATTACTTAGCAACCACGTAACTGCTTCCCTACATTTTTTTTCTAATGCATGATGGTCAGTTAGGAACACACTTGCTTCTTTATATCCCACTCTATTAGGTGCCCTTTTATTCCTGACCCTGGCATTATTAGGCTGTCATTCTGTGACCTCCCTTTTTTCCTCCTGCTGGTCTCACTGTGTTCTTCCTCTCTGATCTGGCCTCCTCTTCTGCTGGCGTTGGTGTAAAGTATAATTTAAGTTGCAGTGCTAAGGAAGAGTAGTGGGACATTTGCTCAGTATGTTGGCTTAGGATAGAACAAAAAATTAGTTGAGAAATTTCTAGTTGTTTCTGTGAGAATTATGCCTGGCTGTTCAGGAACAATGCCAATTAATGACTTTATATTAAAAAAACACAGGAGAGGTATTTGGCCCAGATTTTGATGCAGCAAAGCAACAGCCATTCGTTTCACTGATAGTCACTTATAAAGTTTTCTTGTGCTTCTCAGCTGAGACTTGTACTAATGAAGCTTCTGATCTTCACAGCATCATTCACTGGAAATCTGTGGCATCTGTAAACAGGTCAAGAACTGATTCAATCGTTACAATTGAAGGATCCTCACTTGGCCTCGCAAGAGTTAAAATTCAAGGATGCCGTTTGTGGGTAAGGAAATGAAATGCGCTTTTACCTCACATCAATCAAGGCGTTGCATGCAGCACACAAACTTTGAACTGACTGCTAATCTTCATGACTGCAGTGCGCAGCAAATTGCTAAACATGGCAATGATTGCCTGTGTGTTCTGCAGGAGAGTCCAGGTGCTTGTGAGGCTAGCAAGAGATATTTATTTTTTATTCAGCTTGTTCAGACATATAATGACCCACCTCCAGGGTAGGTGTGGGACGTGGACCCAGACCTTCTGGAGCAGAGACTGGGACAATACCACTGTGCCACATGACCAGTGCGCTTCCTAAAACTAGCATGTACCCCCTAAAGGGGTAATGCCTTCTGGCTGCAAATGTTATAATTGCATTCTTTAGAAGAAATAAAGAGTAACAATGCAGCAGCACATCAGTGACAGGGTTCCTAGGTTCTCAGATGCAGCACTGGAGTGGGGGGAGCTGAAAGTAAGTCAGTGGTCATGTTTCCATAGGCCGTCCAGGAAATGGGACTAGATAACAGGAGGTCAGTGCGAGTAGTTTGATCCCCAACAGCTTGGCTGCAATGCTACAAAAAGTTCACTGATTTCACAAGCAGTTTAAGTCGGTGAATGCATCCTCAAATGCCTTCTCCTGCCCAGCACAGAGCCAACCTCTCAGATGACAATGCACCACATCCTTCATCATTCACCCATCAGCAAT